AAGTATTAGCCGAAGAGACAGAAAGGGCCACGTAAACCAGACTCTTCATCAGCCTGAGACCAGAAGAACTGGATGGTGCCCAGGTACCACCAATGTCCACCCTGACAGGGAATACAACAGATGTGTCCCTGAGGGAGTGGGGGAACGGTGGGATGCAGAACTCTAATTCTAGTAAAATGACCAGACTTAATGGTCTGACTGAGACTGGAGGAACCCCAGAAAGCATGGCCCCTGGACTGTCTGTCAACCCAGAACTAAAACAATTCCCAAGGCCAACTCTTCAGACAAAGATTGGACTGGACTGTGGGACTTTAAAATGATACTCGTGAAGAGCGTGCTTCTTAGCTCAAGTAGATACATGAGACTAAATGGGCAGCTTCTGTCCGGAGGTGAGATGAGAAGGCAGAGCGGGTTAGGAGCTGGTTGAATGGACACAAGAAATCATGGGTGGAAAGGAGCAGTGTGGTGTCACTGTATAGGGAGCGCAATTAGGGTCACATAACAATGTATGTATCAGTTTTTGTATGAGAGACTAACTTGAATTATAAACTTTCACTTAAACTACAACAATAAAAAATATATATTAAAAAAAAGAGAGATTGGCTTAAGACACAATCTAATCTTGTGGATTGAGTCCTACCTTGTTAACATTGCTACCTCTAATCATACCTCATTAACATCATAGAGGTAGGATTTACAACACATAGGATAATCATATAAGGTGACAGAATGGTGAATAATCACACAATACTGGGAATCATGGCCTAGCCAATTTAACACATATATTTGGGGACACAATTCATGACATTCCACCCTTTGGCCTTCAAAAATTTGTGTCCTTGTCACATGTAAAACATGTTCACCCTGTCATATAGCAAAGGTCTTAATTCAACTCCTTGTCCAAAATCCAAAGATTCCTCTTCATCTGTGAAATCTAGAATACAAGTTATCTATTTCCAAAGTACAGTGGTGGAACAGGCACAAGCTAGACATTTCTGTTACAAATGGGAGATATTGGAGGCAAAGAAGGGCTAACAGGCACCAAGCAAGTCAGCAGAACACATTGCGTTAGCCCTCAAGGCTTGAAAATAATCCTGTGTTCTTTGAGACCATTTACACATGGCCCTGCCCGCCAGACTCTGGGTGTTGGCCACACACTCTGGGCTTCAGCTCCATCTTCTAGGCCCACTGGAATGGCAGTTCTGCTCCCTTGGATTTGGCAGCCCCATTCTTCTAGTCAGATCTGAGTGGCGACTCCACCCTTTGAGACTGAGGCAGCTCTGCTTCCTGTGTTCCTTGTCTCTTCAGCTTCTGCTTCCTGGTTCTTTGGCCTCTCGGCCCCTCGGGCCTCCATGCCCATTTCTACCCTGCTGGGACAAGTATTCCAAAGCTCTTTAGTTCCACCAATAAGTGCCTGGATGCACCCCATTCTACCAGTAAACTTTGGCCCAGAAGGCACTCAGCTCTCTCGCTCCATGGGTTGGCAAGCCTAGCTCCACCTGTAGGTGCTCGGAGGCACCCACTCTGCCAGGAAGCCTCTTGCCAAAGGCACTCAGCTCTCTTGCTCCATGGGTTGGCTCCAGTGCTGTCTCACGCTGGTCTCCTGGTTCTGCTACAGCCATTTCTCTGCTGCTGCTTCCCACCATCTGTGCCATCTCCAGTGTAAACAGTTCTCCTCACTTCCTTCTTAGTCCTCTATCCATTCACAGTTTCAAATCTGTTTCCACATTTTAGGTATCTATTAGAGCAGCACCCTACTCCTGGTACCAAATTCTGCCTTGGTTATCTAGTGCTGCTATAACAGAAATACCACAAGTTGATGACTTTAACAAAGAGAAATTTATTCTCTCATGGTCTAGGAAGCTAGAAGTCTGAATTCAGGGTGCCAGCCTCAGGGGAATGCTTTCTCTCTCTGTTGGTTCTGGGGAAAGGTCCCTGCTATCAAACTTCCCCGGTCGGAGTTTCTCAGTGCAGGGACTCCGGGTCCAAAGGACATGCTATTCTCCTGGCTCTGTTTTTTTTTTTTTTTTGGTGGTATGATGTCCCCATGTCTCTCTGCTCACGTCTCTCTTTTATATCTCAAAAGAGATTAGCTTAAAACACCATCTAATCTTGTAGATTGAGTCCTGTCTTGTTACTGTAACTGACTGTAATCCTACTTCATTAACATCATAATGATAGAATTTACAACATGTAGGATAATCACATCAGATGACAAAATGGTGGACAATCACACAGTACTGGGAGTAATGCCTAGACAATTTGACACATATTTTGGGGGGACACAATTCAATCCATGACAGTTACCTTGAAATTTACCCTTATCTTTCTAAGTTTGAACCAGTGTTTTATTGATATTGCCTTGACATCCTCTCCATTTGAAAGTTCTGTATCTATACTTTGTAGTCCCCCTTTTATTGTTCTGACATCATCATTTATAGAGTGACATCTCTAGTTTCCTGTCTTGAATCTTTTAGTTTTGTTTCATCCTTGAGAGTTTGTTATGTAAGTCAGTATTTGGCTGGTACTAACCTGTGTCCTAGATTAAGGTTGTTGTTTGATGTTGTTGGCTCTCTAACCAAAGAACTCCCTTTGATAATTCTTGTAAGTTTGGTTTGGTTTTTACAAATTCCCTTAATTTCTGTTTATCTGGAAATGTCCTAATTTATCATCATATTTGAGAGAGAATTTTACAGGATATATTATTCTTGGTTGACAATCTTTTTCTTTCAAGGTTTTATATATGTCATCCCATTGCCTTTTTGCCTGCATGGTTTCTGCTAAGTAATCAGAGCTTATCCTAGTCTTATTGTTTCTGCTGTGTATGTGACTTTTAGTTTTTCTCAAGCTGCTTTTTTTGTTTGTTTTCTATATGATTTTTGTTTTCTTTATGTTGAGGAGTAACCATACTGAAGGCTGTGGTCTTTGATCTTCATCAGTAAGTGCTTCAAGTCCTGATCGCTTTTAGCAAGCAAAGTTGTGTGATCTACGTTTCACAGGTTGTTAGTAAGTTTTCCTCTAATCCTGATGCTGCATTCTTCTTCATACAGTTGAGCTTCTTGGAATATTTGCTCAGCATACAGATTGAATAAGTATGGTGAAAGGATGCAACCTGACACACACCTTTCCTGTTTTTAAACCATGAAGTATTTCCTTGTTCTGTTCGAATGGCTGCCTCTTAGTCTATATACAGATTCCAAATTAGCACCATTAAGTGTTCTGGAATTCCTATTTACAATGTTACCTATAATTTGTTATGATCCACACGATTGGATGCCTTTGCATAGTCCATAAAACACAGGTTAACATCTTTCTGGTGTTCTCTGCTTTTAGCCAAGATCCATCTGACATCAGCAATGGTATCCCTTGTTCCACATCCTTTTCTGAATCCAGCTATTGACGTACTGCTGCAACCATTTTTGAATTATCTTTTATCATAAAATTTTCTTGCATGTGATATTAAAGATATTGTTCGATAATTTCCACATTCTGTTGGATCACCCTTCTTTGGAATGGGCACAAATATGTATATCTTCCAGTTGGCTGGCCAGGTAACTGTCTTCCACATTTCTTGGCACAGGCCAGTGAGTGCTTCCAGAATTGCATCCATTTGCTGAAACATCTCATTTGGTATTGTGTCACTTCCTGGAACCTTTTTTTTTTGCTGCCAATGACTTCAGTGCAGCTTGGACGTCTTCCTTCAATGCCTTCAGTTCTTGATCACGTGTTACTCCTGAAATGATTGAATGTCAACCAATTCCTTTTGGTACAGTGACTCTGTGTATTCGTTCTATCTTCTTTTCATGCTTTCTGTGTCATTCAATATTTTGCTCCTAGAATCCTTCAATATTGCAACTTGAGGCTTGAATTTTTTCTTCAGTTTTTTCAGCTTGAGAAATCCCAAGCATGTTCTTCCCTTTTGGTTGTCTAACTCCAGGTCTTTGCACGTTTCATTTTAATACTTTACTTTGTCTTCTTGAGCTGCCCTTTGAAATCTAGTGTTCAGCTTTTTTACTTCATTTCTTCCATTTACTTTAGCTACTCTAGCTTCAAAAGCAAGTTTCAGAGTCTCTTCTGACATGCATTTTGGTCTTTTCTTTCTTTCCTGTGTTTTTAATGAACTTTTGCTTTCTTCTTGTATGGTGTCCTCGATGTCATCCAACGACTTATCTGGTCTTTGGTCATTAGTGTTCAATGGTCAAATCTACTCTTGAGATGGTCTCTGAATTAAGGTAGGGTGTACTTAAGATGGTACTTTGGCTTTCATGGACTTGTTTTAATTTTCTTCAGCTTCAACTTGAACTTGCAGATGAGCAATTGAAGGTCTGTTCCTAAGTCAGCTCCTGGCCATTTTCTGAGTGATGGTGTTGAGGTTCTCCATAGTCTCTTTCCACAGATTTAGTAATTTTCATTCCTGTGTATTCCATCTGGTGAGGTCCATGTGTATATTTGCCATTTATGTTGTTCAAAAAAGGTATCTGCAATGAATAAGTTTTTGGGCTTGCAAAATTCTTTCATGCGATACCTGACATTATTTCTATCACCAAGGCTGTATTTTCCGATCACGGATCCTTAGTCTTTGTTTCCAACTTTTGCCTTCCAATCACCAGTCATTATCAATGTATCTTGATTTCATGTTTAATCAATTTCAGACTGCAAGCGTTGGTAAAAATCTTCAGTTTCTTCATCTTTGGCATTAGCAGTTGGTGTAAATTGAATAATAGTCATATTAACTGGTCTTCCTTGTAGGTGTATGGATATTATCCTACTACCGACAGTGTTGTACTTCAGGATAGATCTTGAAATGTTCTTTTTGACAGTAAACACCATCCTTTTCAATTTATCGTTCCCGGCATAGTAGACCAAGCTGGATATAATTTACCTGATTAATCTTACTTAATAATTGCTTATTTCTGCAGCATACAATCTTATTAAATAATATTCTCATATGCTTTAAAAATGATAATCTAATTTGATTATATTCTTTTTTTTCTTTTCAGAAAGTATCTCTGTGCTACATCTTCTTTTAAAGGAACATTTAAAAATGAAGTTAAAAATGCTAAAGAAGCCGTAAAGATTGGTATGCAGCTGCCAATAGCCTACATCACCTTTTATTGTTTGTCCATTCAGCAAACATTAATTGAGCCCTTTTACTGAGCCACGCACCGGTCTAACCATTCTAGAAACTACTTCAATTAATCAGAAATAGTTCCTGCCTCTAAAGAACTTCATAACACATCCTTTGCATAATTATGATGTTATCTGTTATTATGATCCAGAACACACTCAGAATTAGATTAGTATTTATTAGAAACCCGGGCCATCATGATGATGAGTTATGTCATTTCGGAGACCAGAGTTGCTTCCACTTTAGGAGGGAATGTTCTACACATTCACTCCTCCAATGGCAGGGACAAAGCCATCCTTACCAGTGACCCAGGAATGAGGAGTACATCTACATTTCACTGATTTTAGTTTTCATTCAGCTGAAAGTTCACTCATGAGTTTTGGATTTGTATATATATTTAAACCTGTATGTTATCATGCCTAAGAAGAGCCCAACACAGGTACCTAGACTTGGAATGCTGTGAAAGGAACTTAAGATTTTCTGATATTATGATTTGTATGCCATTTGCACTGGTCACGGCTATATTCATAGAACATGCTCACTTAACATTTCTTGAAAGAATTTCACTGTTATAACTCTCTTGCTTCTAATTCCAGCTGAACTCACACTGAAAGAAGCACAAATTAAAGTCAACAAACTGGACAGAAGTGTGTCATCTCCTGCCAAGGTACGATGTATAAAGAGTGGGATTTCTAAATGGCAAACATTGTCATTTGCTTTTTCCTGTGCATAGCTGTGCCTTATAATTTACTTTCTAAACTTCAACCACAGATGAGCTCAGGTTAAGTTGATTTTAGCACAGGTAAACAGAATAGATAAGTGCAGAAAAAGGGGGAACACTCAACAGATGGGGAGGAGGCTAAGCCTGAGAGCAAAGATGAACAAAACATGGTGTGAGATTGAAACAGTGAAGAAGAGCAACACCGCTAATTTGCTTGAAGTGAAAAAAGAAGTAATATGAGAAAAGGAGAAAATACTAAAATGCCAGTAGAAAAACTAGACTATCAAGTCTCCTTGAAAATATGTATTCAAATTATTGCTCGCCATAGACCCAAATAAATGGGAAAGCAAGGAGAGGACTAATAAGCAATCCTTCTTTCCAGTGCTAGGAATTATATACTATAATTCTGAATATTTATAACAATGCTTCCAGCTTACAAAGCTCTTTTCTTATGAGTTACTCCACACAGTTCATAAACATTCTCTGTAATCCTTGCAAGATGTCCATGACTAAGACAGGTTATAAAGAACTCTCTTTATTAATCATAATGCATTGCTACTAAAAGAGAAAAAAATTTACCATAGGACATGTCTTGTAAGTTTACTAATTTTTACCAAAAATATGGTACACAACTTTCTACTGTGGTGAATCATTAAGCAACGTATTTATTTGTTTGTATACAAAGGGATAAATATGAATATAGAGAAAAAACTCTTCACTTCACCTTTCTTTCATCCTCTTCTGCAGACCAAATATATGAAACTTTTCCATAGTTTTCCCTTAAACGTTCAAGAACAAGGGCTGTGTCTAGTAAAGAGCTCTCATATCTAATGGTAGTGAGTAGGTGATGAGATCAAAGAATCGCACGAGCTCATGCCTAAAGCTAAATTTATCCCTGGCTTTCCCAGAACTCTCTCACTTTTTCCTTTTCCTTTATTTTCTTAAGTTAAAGGTAAAAAAAAACGATCTTATTGTTATTTTTTTAAGGTTTAAGGTTTTTTTTGTTGTTGTTTCTAAGAAATTAATTCCCTTTACTTTTATTTATTTGAGGGACATGAGAAACAGACTCTTTAATGGGTCAGGACCTTGCTTTTTGCTTCCACCTGATATCTCTCCCTGCCTCCTTGCTCTGTGCTGTAAGTTCTCTGACAGGCCGGCTGGGGAAGGCTTTGACCAGTCTGTGTTGTAGCTCTGGGTTAAACACTGGTTCTTTCACACAGAGAAGAGAGCATAGCCAAATGACCTTGACTTTTGACCACTTAAATTCCTCCAGGCAGTTGAGTGATTGAATTTGAAGTGTGAAACTTACCAACCATTTGTCATTTTCTTTTACTTGAAAGTCAGTGAAAATAGTCTTCAATCAAAAAAAAAAAAAAAAGATGTCTCCCTTTCACACAAGTTGGATGGAGCACATCAAACGCCTTTTCTTATTTGTGAGAATAATAGTAATGAATTATGTCCTCTCTGCCTGGTTAGAGGGAACATACTAGAGATAGGGTAGTGAATGAGCTAATGTATTGAATTATAAGATCAGCTAAGAAAGACGGGCATTGGTGTTAAGTGGTATTAACTGAAGGGGAGAAAAGCTAGGATTGGGGTATCCTAGAAAGGGAAAGTTTGGAGAGCATTAGAGATATTGAGATCTTTATATGAGAAGAGAAATTTTCTTTTAGCTACTACCAAGTTTTTAATTACATTTTTTTTTTCTGAAAGAAGTCTTAATTATCACATAATTTAGCACTTCCTGTTCTCAGAGACAAAAGCCAGAGCCTAGGGACATTGAATGACTTCCCTAAGCTTTCACTTAGTTTGTGGCAAAGCTACTGTGCCATTACAGGGATAGAGGTTCTTTCCAAAATTATAGAGAGAGTGCCTCTGACTGTGTGCAGAAAGAGAATAGGGAGCTAGGATTTGATTTATCCTCTTAGATATTGGAACTTAAATATTTTTTGAGTACATTGGTAGTAGAATCTTGTTGGTCTTTGTGACCTGTCATCCTCACAACATTTGGACATAAGGTAATAAATGTCAGCTTGGCCTTCGTTAATTTAATGGCACTGTGTTCTCTCCTAGCCAAGTGTACTTCGGAATACATTACAAGAAGCTTTGGAAGATGTAGAAGCAAAGCGTGAGACTCTTAAAGAGAAACAGAGGTAAGTCATAGATTTCTCTTTGCAAGGATCCTCTGTTTTAGGTTAAAACAAATTCTGATTTCTGAGTAGGCAGATTTAGTGGTTATTTTGACAGTTTCTCATTCTTAACTTGTAACATCTTATGATAGTAAACTTAATGTCAAAATTCTTTAACCAGCATAATCAAGGTAAAATATAAAGTATATATTTGCATGTACACATACTATGTTATGTTAAAACTTCTGAATATAAAATGAAAAATTAGTTCAGCATCTGGTTGTTTGTCTGGACGAAGATGTCTCAGGAAGTGAGACGCCCAGGGCATCAGCTGACTGCGTCACTCTCCATTCACGTCCTTTGCCATTAAACTCTGGAGAGCCAGTTGCGGTTTCTTTCCTCTTTAGTAACTTAACATTTAAGATAGAAAATTATATTTCAAGTAAGAGTATCACTTACATATAGTTAACAAAATAAAAGTAGTAAGCCTGTGAAATAAAATAAAATATTTACATCTGTAAATTGATTTGCTCTCCAACTCAGGTGTTAAACAGGTTAAACTGAAGATAATCACTGCTGTTCCAATAAGGTTAGACTTTGAAAACTATGTGATAATTTTGAGAAACTAGTGTTTAGGACCATATAATTAGATTTCAATATTATTTTTGTGAACTGTGCAATTCCATACAACCATAACTTTCCTCAAAACTTAAATGTTGTTTGTGTATTGATTGAAATAAATATTAAATAAATATCATACAAATTTTAACTGAAAAAACAGACTGCTCTAAAGTCTTCAGAAAGAACAAACTTGTTGAAAACTTGTTTGCAATCATAATAGTATCTATGACAACTGACCAACCTATATTTTATTAATAATAATGTCAGTTGGCATAAACTTTTTTTAAAGTAAAATACTTTCTTTTTTTTGTTATTTGAAGACAGTATGACATTTAATATTGCAGAATGATTATATCGTATCCTCTGACATCCTGATCTGGAGTCCCTTACACATTCAACATGCTATTGAAGGGCGAGGATCCAGTTATTGAGTAGAGTTATTGAGTTATTGAGGAAAAGTTTGATCCATATATATATTTAACCCTAGATGTACACTGGATTTAATAAACATCTAATATTTTAACTCATGTCAGTAACTTACTGAGAAAGTCTGATATACTCTGTATATTGTATCCACATAAAAAGACTGATAGAAATTTATCAATGTCCTTTAATGACAGATGTATTTAATCAGTCCAATGAGTGTATTATGTCAGTTATAGTAGTACATGGTCATGAACCTCAAAAGAAAAAGCCATATTGGGGCAGGGGTGGCTCTAGGGTGGGCGGAGGGGAAGAATTGTATATGGTGCCATTTTTGGTTGAGGAAGGAAAATAACATTTGTTAAGTACCCAGTCTGTTCTAGGTTTATATTGAGCATTATCTCTTTTAGTCCTCACAGCATCCCAAGTAGGTTGTTGTTGTTAGTTGCTTTTGAGTTGATTGTGACTCATAGTGACCCCAAATGTACAGAGTAGGACTGCTCCATAGGGTTTTAAAGGCTGTAACCTTTTGAAAGCAGATCATCAGGCCCGTCTTCCAAGGTGACTCTGGGTGGGTTTGAACTGCCAACCTTTCAGTTAGTAGTCTAGTGCTTAACCATTTGTGCCATCCAGGGAATCTTTCCCAAGTAGATGAGTAGGTATTATTTCCACTTTTCAGTTAAGATTGAGAAAGATTAAGTGACTAATCCATAGTCACCTAGCTATTATGAAGATGACCTTGTATTTGAAGCAGGGTCTGGCTTTTTGGTTCTTATATCCTGGCACTTTTCACAGCTCCAAGCAGCCTCCTGTGACTTTGGTCTATCATACTCTGCTATTTTGCAACTTCTATTTTTGCACTTTTAATAGAAAAGTCACACAAAACCTAGCATAGCAGGACAGCGTCAGAAAAGACAGAAGCTTATATCTGTTGCCCTTATAAACTTGCTTTATTAACTTTTATTTACCTTTGATTTTGGAAAAGGTTAGAGAGAAAACTTAAAAAATATCTTTTGGTAGATTCTGAACTTTGCAGGGTATTTGGAGTCTCGAGAACATAGGAAAAGTTAGAAATCACATCCAGTCTTAGAAATACTTAAATTTTAAAATAGTCTATTCATCATTTCTCAAAAAAGTTACAATGTGCAGACTGGATCACTTAACAATTTCAGAGCTATCTTGACATTTTCAAGTTCTTGTAAATTTAAATTGGAAAACTTATTTTTGAGTCAGTGAATACTTGCATTTGGCTGGTATAGTTATTGTCCATCATAATTATGCAGAACACTTGGCTATACGGAGATACTGAGTGTGCCTACCAGTTTTTGCAAAATGTGTAGATATTTTATAGATCACTCCTTTGAAGTTTGCCTTATGAGTTTATTAGCCATTTTGTAACTTTATACTGTTATTTAATAAAAACTATTTTTTTTCTCAACTTTTCTAAATGTAACTTTAGAGAATTAAAAAAGACAAAAACGTTCTCCTTGTTCTTTGGAGTGAGCGTGGAAAATCGAAGCCAAGCTGGCATGTTCATTTACAGTAATAACCGCTTGATCAAAATGCATGAGAAAGTGGGCCCTCAGCTGAAGCTCAAGTCTTTGTAAGTATGTGTTTGTTTTCAGATATACAGGCAGGAAGAGGGAGGTTGCAGTAAGACTCTGTGTGTGGAACTAGATGAGTGGTTAATCATCATGGAAGCAGGTGTCGGAGTCTCTGCTCCCCTTTCCTGTCAGTGTACAGGCGTTAAGTCTAATTTATGATATCCGTGGAGCTGCATGCATGCTCTAAGGAAAAAGCAGACTTTTGGAAATTTCTTCAGTTCATTTCCTGAGAAACTTGATGTTTTACCATTCCCTGTGCCATCTATTTGGGTTAACTTTTTAATATTTTGCCAATCTAAAAATAATACAAGCATATCAAAGAAATTTGGGAAAAGAAAGAAGGAGAAGATCTGTAGTCTTATAGAGCAGCCCTGTTAGTAACATGTGCAAGCCTGCTTCCACGAGCTCTTGCCAGTTACTGCAGGAGTGTATATTAATAACATTCTGCAGCGTATTTGGATTCTAAATAATACATTCTGGTGCTTTCTCAGTGGTCTGAAGCTCTGCAAGCTGCTCACATGAATTATGTAAAGTCCTGAAGAGAGACTATAGCAAAGCACAACGAGGCAGACAAGATAATCATGACCAGTAGAATGGCTCAGGGGAACATTTTTCATTTTGATACCTCACTCTCAAGAAATTAGCAGTTCATCGATTTATTCATTCAGCAAGCACTTATTTTGAAGTATCTTGTGCCAGGCACTGTGCTAAGCCCTGCAAACAAAGTAGTAAAGACCTAGTACCCTTTGCTAGGGAACTTACAGCCCAAAGGAAGGGACAGGTGGCTAACACATTTTTTTGTATTGTGTGATAGCACCAAGAATGATATTTTAAAACATCATTTAGAATACCTCTGCTTGAACCCTGTTGTATTTAGGATAGAACTAGGGTGATCTGGCCCCTGCCCCGCTCTGTGACATGTTCCCCCTACCCCTGGCCCCCCGCCAGTCCCCATCCCCCCTTCCTCAGACACGCTAAGCTCATTCCTGCCTCCACCTTGGCACTTGTCATTCCCTCTGGTCTTAGATCTGCTCACCACTGGGCCTAGCTTGTTATTCAGGTGTCAGCTCTAAAACCCCCTCCAGAGGAAGGTCTTCTTTGACTGTCTAATTAAAATTGGTCCCTGCCAACACCCCCCTTCACCTGCCATTCTTTCACATATTACAGCCCCTATTTCATTTTTCTCACACCACTTTTCACCATCTGAAGTGATCATGTTCATTTATCTCCTTACTGGCTTCATGCTTGTCATCCTCTAGTACCAGGGACCCTGTCTTTCTTGCTCATCACTCTATCCCCAGTTCCTGGAACAGGGCCAGGGGCTTAGTTTGAGTGAATGAATGAGTACTGTGTAGTGGAGAGCATAAGGTGCAAAAGGAGCATTTAGTAAGGGCAGCAAAACCAAACTGGGGGAAGTCAGGTCAGGCTTCCTGAGAGAGGTGATGACAAAGTTAGACTAGAAGAATGACAAGTGAAATGAAGTGAGGGGAAGATGGAGGGGCAAGTGGTGAAAACACAACAGGAAAGGCAAGCAGAGACCACAAGTTAGGAAGGCTTGATTTGTGTGCCATGCCAAGGACAAGGAGGAGCCCCTGAAGGGCTAGACTCCTGAATACTCTGCTTTTCCAAAACAGACTGTCACCAAGTGTACATCAAGAGCCCCTGAAAAAAAAAAAAACAAACAAAAAATAATTGAGTTTACCCAGTAGACTAACCCGTGGGTACCTGCTACCCTCTGGGTCAGTCCAGCCTTTGTGCCCCCTCAGTAGAATTCATAAGCACCCTGTGGGCCTCTGCAGTGATGAGAAATCCAAGCTGACAGAGGAAATGAGGATGAAGAAAGTGACTCTGACCAGTGTCATTAAAAAGATATTTGTTTACTGAGCAAGGCATTGTTACTGGTGTTTAATGCTGACAGGCCTCCTCCCCACCTAAGGTGGTGGGTGTGGAGAAGGAGTCACATCAATTCAGCAATGATTTGTAAAGTAGTTGTACATTATGGGACCAAATGCACCTAGGATGGCCGTAGATTTATGTAGCAAAATATAGTTACCATGTATCTTGTTAAACTTTGGTCCAGAACAAATAAATGAATTTATTTTTGAAGAATTTGATTTTAAATGACCAGAATATGTTTGCTTTTTATTTTTCCTTAGCTAAATTTTACAAAACCTGTATATGCATTTATTCTCGCAGACTTGGTGCAGGTGTGGTTGGAATTGTTAATATACCCTTGGAGATCATGGAGCCATCCCATAATAAACAGGAGTTTCTCAATGTCCAGGAATACAATCGTCTACTGAAAGTCATGGGACAGTACTTGGTCCAGTACTGTAAGGACACTGGCATCAGTGAGTATCCAATAGTCATATCAAGTGATGCTTAAAGAGGGATCAACTTGTGTGACTTCTGTAAGCTGGAACTGTTACATTTATTCAGGTAACCGGTGACTCAAAGCCCCCAGAGAGATCTCCTGCATTTAAAACGTACAAGAAGTGAAAAGGGAGCCAATCCTAGAAGGTTTCCCAGAGTACTGTATTATAAATAAAGCGGCAGATAAGAAATTGGAAGGGAAGGGCAATCAGAGAGCCGTGTGAAGTGGCAGCTGATGACAGAGGGAAGAGGCAAAAGTTGCTCCAGACTGCCCGAGAAACCCTAGAGGGACAAATCTGAACCTTCCCGTATAGGAGCACCTAGTCCCACATGGGTCTCAATGGCTTCCGCAGTACTGTTACATGGTGGCATGGAATAATTGTTGACCCTGAATAATTGCAGATAGGTTAAATTTTGTTTCTTATTACTAACATGGCTTTATTATCTTAATTCTAAAGCAATTTCAATTAAAAATACTTAGAAAACATATGTTTGGAAACTTAAAAGCGTAAACCAGTTATTTGGAAAATTTGGCTTACTCAGATTATCTCACTCCTCAGAGACACCTGAACAACGTGGTGGTGTGCTGTGCATTAAACAAACTTCCTTTAAGTTACCCAGACACAGAGATTCACTTATGGAAAGAAATAGACAGGCCACTGTGTGTTTGTTCAGTGATTTGCATGAAAATTGTTTAATTCTCATTTTTTAAGTTTAAGGGTAGGGACATAATTTTTGATATGCATGAATTACACAAACTTCATGCATATCAGAAACTATGTCCCTACCCTTGAGGCAACTTAAAAAATCTTATTGCTCCATGCCATGGATTGAATTGTGTCCCCCAGAAATATCTGTCAAATTAGGTGGGTCATGATTCCCAGTATTGTATAATTGTGTACCATTTTGTAATCTGATGTGATTTCCTTGTGTATTGTAAATTCAATCACTGTGATCTAACAAGATGGATTAGCGGCAATTGTACTGATGAGGTATACAAGATTGGATAGTGTCTTAAGCCAATCTCTTCTGAGATATAAAAGAGAGAAGCAAGCAGAGACACATGGAAAACTCATACCACCAAGAAAGCAGTGCTGTGAGCAGAGCACATCCTTTGGACTTGAGGTTCCTGTGCTGAGATGCTCCCAGAGCAAGGGAAGATTGATGACATGGACCTTCCTCCAGAGCCAACAGAGAGAAAGCCTTCTCCTGGAGGTGATGCCCTGAATTTGGACTTGTAGCCTACTGGACTGTGAGAGAATATACTTCTCTTTGTTAAAGCCATCTACTTGTGGTATTTCTGTTATAGCAGCACTAGATGACTAAGACACTCCACTAGAGGTTGTAATTTAGGATATTTTATTTTATTTTGTATTCACCATGCTTGGACCTAAACTTTTCTCACACCTGTGAGACAGAGAGAAGAATGTAGGAATTTGGAGGGGAGGCAGTGGGAATGAGGTCGAGAGAATAGAATTCCTGTCAAAGCGGGATTTTGACATCATAGTCTGAAAGCTACTCAGAGCGTGGTTGTGGACCAGCAGCGTCAGCATCACCTGTGAGCTTGTTAGAAATGCACTCTAAGACCCCATCCAGGACCTACTGAATTAGAATCTGCATTTTAGCAGGATTCACTGGTGATTTGTAAGTGCATTAAAGTTTGAGAAACAATGCCGTAAGAGTAAGTACATCCGTGTAATTTTTGCTTAGGATAGGCATGCTTTTTTTGTGTGTGTTTTTTTTTTTTTTTTTTTTTTTTAAGAGACACGTTTGAAGTTAAACATAGGACTGACTACATTATCTGGCAGGGTTTGTTTGAAGCTGTAGAAAACATAGGAACATAAAACAAACAAAAAAAAAAAAAAACATTGCCCTCGAGTCAATTCTGACTCATAGTGACCCTAAAGGACAGAGTAGATCTGCCCTTTCAGTTAGCAGCTGAGTGCTTAGACCCTGAACCACCAGGGCTCCTTGGAATGCACATAAAAATACAAACCCATTGCCTTTGAGTCAATTCCGACTCATAGCAACCCTATAGGACAGAGTAGAACTGCCCCATAGAGTTTCTAAGGCTGTAAATCTTTATGAAAACTGACTGCCACTTTTTTCTCCTATGGAGTGGCTGGTGGGTTCAAACCGCTGACCTTTCACAGAGAAGCTGAACGATTTAACCACTGCACCACCAGGGCTCTTCTGAAATATACGTTAAAAAAAAACCTGTTGCCATCAAGTCAATTCCGACTCACAGTGACCCTACAGAACAGATTAGAACTGCCCCATAGGGTTTCCAAGGAGCAGCTGGTAGATTCGAACTTCTTCTTTTTTTTTTTTTTTTGGTCTTTCTTTTTATTTAATGTTTTATTGTACTTCAGGTAAAGGCTTACAGAACAGATAGTTTCTCATGTAACAGTAACACACATGCTGTTTTATGACATTGGT